TAAATCAGAACTTGAATGAAAACAAAAATCAAAGAAAGCTGCATAGAATTTTCTCAATGCCAAAAAATTTCTACTAAAAAAAGTCCTTGTGTTACAACTTTTTTGGGAATATAAACATTAATTTTGGAGTATGCTAAACAAAATAAATTTTCCCTCCACCAAAAAATAGGATCTAGAGCAACATTCAAATGAATTTCATAATTTTATTAACAAGGAATAGTAGACATCACCTGTCATTAAGATTCTTATCTTCAAACCTTCCACCTTGGATTTATGAATGTTATGAGTGTCCATACTATGTCCTATTTGAGTATATACACGTAACACACACACTATATATATACACACACACATATATATATTTGTGTATATATGTATGAATATATATTTATGTATATATATTTGTGTGAATATATATTTATGTATATATATTTGTATAAATATATATATTTATGTATATATATTTGTATAAATATATATATTTATGTATATATATTTGTATAAATATATATATATTTGTTCATATACATATATGAACAAATACAGTTGATCCTTGAACAACACAGGAGTTAGGGTCACTGATCCCATGCAGTCAAAAATTTGTGCTTAACTTTTGACTCCCAAAATCTTAACTACGAACAGCCCACTGTTGACCAGAAGCCTTTCTGATAACAAAAACTCAATCAATACGTATTTCATAAATTGTATGTATTATGTAGTGTATTCTTACAATAAAGTAAGCTAGAGAAAAGAAAATGTTACTTAAAAAATCATAAGGAAGAGAAAAGGCATTTACCATTCATTAAGTGGAAGTGGATCATTAGAGAGTTCTTCATTCTTCACATTGAGTGAGCTAAGGGGGAGGAGGGAAAGGAGGGGGTAGTCTTGTTGTCTCAAGGGTGAAAAGTGGAAGAATATCCACATATAAGTGGACCCTCGCAGTTCAAACCTGTGTTGTTCAAGGGTCAGCTATAATGTCATGACCCTTCTTTGCTTCTTGGGAGCATTTCCAGCATCATTAGTCACACTTTCCATAGGTCTCATGGTGTTATTCAAGGTTTATGATATTGCATTAAGCAAGATGAAAAATACACACAAATAATGAGAAATCATTCTTACTGCAATTCCCAATTTATTGGAGATACAACTGGCTCATGCAGAGATGATGAGCATCACATGGTGTTTTAAGCAGATACACCACTTGAGCTCACTGCAGTAGCAACAGGAGGTGGCTATGAAATTATTACAGTAGTACAATATGTACCACAGTTAATTTTATGCAGTTATGACTTAATACTGCATGTTTATGTTTGTTTCCATTTCTCTAGACTACAAATGGCGCCATGTACAGTCTGTTTGTATGCATATGTTTTGAGAATTTTTAACTGTTGTGTATATTTTATGATAGTAATAAGAAAATACACTAGTATCTACATATATTTTATCCATTCATGACATGGCTAATTAATCTTAATATTTTCAACATTTCAAGGATACGCAGTTCTTCCATGAGTTTTTTCAAGTTATTGCAAATCTACAAACAATTTTCCAATAGGTTTATTGAAAAAAAAAATCCACCTGTAAGTGTACCCATGCTGTTAAAACTTGCGTTGTTCGCCGGGCGCGGTGGCTCACGCCTGTAATCCCAGCACTTTGGGAGGCCGAGGCGGGCGGATCACAAGGTCAGGAGATCGAGACCACGGTGAAACCCCGTCTCTACTAAAAATACAAAAAATTAGCCGGGCGCGGTTGTGGGCGCCTGTAGTCCCAGCTACTCGGGAGGCTGAGGCAGGAGAATGGCGTGAACCCGGGAGGCGGAGCTTGCAGTGAGCCGAGATCGCGCCACTGCACTCCAGCCTGGGCGACAGAGCGAGACTCCGTCTCAAAAAAAAAAAACAAAAAAAACACACACACACACACAAAAAAAACACACAAAAAAACTTGCGTTGTTCAAGTCTCAACTGCGTGCAATATATACCTATATGCACACTGTATCAAGCTTTATTAAAAAGTCTAGGACAAACCATGAAATAATTATAGTAACTACTTCTGGGCTGTGGAAAACTGGGTACATGTTTTTTCACTTTGTTTGAATCTACAAATTGCAAATCATTTGGTGAGAGATTCTCATCAGTATACTATTCCTGGATACCATTAAAACACAAATACATGAAAGTATTAATAGGAGAATTTTGGGACAATGTGACCCAAGAAGATATTTCTTTCCTACTCTATTATTTTTTTCCTTCTTCAATCTGCTGAAATGAGTCTACACCTTTTTTTAAATTGTAAAGTTAAAGTTTATTTTTAAAACTAGTATTTAGAAACAGGAGGATACTAGCAGTGAAGGTTAAGGAGATTGAAGAATCCTGACCCTACTAGTTATTGAAGCCTCTTATAATACAAATGACCTTAAAAAGATTATTTAAAGCATATAAATAGAATAATTAATCAATGAAAAAAAAGAGTCGGCCAGGCGCGGTGGCTCAAGCCTGTAATCCCAGCACTTTGGGAGGCCGAGGCGGGTGGATCACGAGGTCAGGAGATCGAGACTATCCTGGCTAACATGGTGAAACCCCATCTCTACTAAAAATACAAAAAACTAGCCGGGCGTGGTGGCGGCGCCTGTAGTCTCAGCTACTTGGGAGGCTGAGGCGGGAGAATGGCGTGAACCCGGGAGGCGGAGCTTGCAGTGAGCTGAGATCACGCCACTGCACTCCAGCCTGGGCGACACAGCGACACTCCGTCTCAAAAAAAAAGAAAAAAAAGAGTCTCACATAGATTCAACTCTTATGAGGAACTGAATGAAACACAGTAAGCTTTTCAACACCAAGGAGTTACAAAGAACTATTTAATACATTTGGTTGCGATAGCAGTTTGGAAGGAAGAAAGAGAGAGGGGGAAGTTAAAGCCAATGCAAGATGATTCATCAAAATAAACAACAGAAGGACTAATGAGTTCAAACAAAACACTCAACTATCAAAAAGTCAAAGTGGCGGGGAGTCAACTACTTAACAAATCATGAACAAATGTATTTTTAGCTTTAATATTAGGGAAAAATTTTTAAAGATTATCGCTTTACTATAAAGAAATGCAAAATGTTCAAGTAAAAAAAGCAGCAAAACCGTTTAAATATTTACATCAAAATTTTGATCAACAATCAATATATCTAATTAGGAAGAGCTTATCCAAAATTATAAAAACATGGGACAGACAACTGGAGACAGTTATAAATAAAAATTTGCAAAAGATAAAACTATAAATAATCACAATATGCAGAAAGTTTATTCATATTAGTAAACAAGCAACACATCAAAATAAATGTGAGATACTGTTTTACAACTACTAAACTAGTCAAAATACATTTTAAAAATAACATGCTAGCAAGAATGTGGCGAACTGGTACACCACATTTTTGATTGCATGTGTAACTCATTTGGAAAACAATATGGCAGCTGGAAACAAGGGAGATGAAGATGTTTCTTCTCCCTAGCTCAGCTATTTCACTATATGGATTTTATATGGAATATATAATTTCACAGAAATAAAAGAATTCTGTACAAAACTTTTGCACATTTTATTATAACAAAGAGAATAGAAATAACTAAAACAATTGTTAGATAAATTTATACAGATATATGAAAAATACTTAGAAATAGGAAAAATCCTTATTGTATAAGTCAAAACAAAAAATGCCATAGTATATATTTCATATTATTTTCAATTATGTCAGAAATATAGATTATAAAGTGCAAACAATAAAAATAATTGATGTGTTAAAATAATAAAAATGTGCATGTTTCCTAGTTTAAGCCCAGTTATTCCTGATCACTGGTACAAAGATATAATAACCAGATACCAAAAATTACGGTTTTATAAAATAAGAAATAATTTTTTTATGAATAAAGCATATAGTCAAAAAATAAATTTATAGTCAGGGTACCTCACACGTGTGTGTGTGTGTGAGAGAGAGAGAGAGAGAGAGAGACAGAGATGGAAGGGTCCCTGGTCTATCTCTCACTACGTTTCTTATGTAATTCTCTCCAGAAGTGAAAATACACATAAATTATTGCAAGTATTCTGTGGACTTCATAGAGCCACTGTGAAGGTTAAACAAAATAGTATGTTTGAAAATGCCTATTCTGGTCTATAGCTGTACGATACGTTCCAGGTGTTCAAAAATATTCTTTCAATATATTTAATAGAAGGACAATAATATCAAGAAGTTGTTACATTATAATTTAATAAATGTAATACAAAGACTCTTTTCTTCACCTTCAAATGAAAGAACTAGAGCTGATAATTTTGGTAGGCCCTACCAACTCTGTAGAGTTCTGGGGAATGAGCAGAACATGAAGAAAGTCAGAAATCACTAAAGGATGATGATAAGAAGATGATAAATGCGTGGAAAAGCATACCTTAAAGAAAAGCTTTAAAATCTGTGTGTGTGTGTGTGTGTGCGCGTATGTGTGTGTAAAATAACCTTTTTAACAAATAAACAAAATTAAAGCACAACATACAGGGCCTTTCATTACAACCTTTACCTGGTTTCACAACGTGTAATGCACATTCAGAAAATAGATGTCTATCACTTTCTATGACCGAGATAAGCAAAGTCTAAATCTAACACGTAGGGCTTTTTTTGATTTTTCTGGAACGATGAATAATGCTTCTCACATGGGAGGGCATTATCTACTTGAGGAAACACATATGGCCCTTTTACCTCCTCTGTGCTTAATGCACAGATAAATACTTACACATGCACAGAGAAATGCTTCCACTCACACCATCTGCTCATTGGAGGAAAAAGCACACCCATGTAGCCTATTACATTTGCCAGTGCTGGGGCTTTGCTCTAAAGCAATGTCTGCTTTGGATGGCAAATTTTATAGTCTCTATTTAATAGGTTCATAGAGGGGATACTCACCTCTAGCTCCCCCACACTAGATGTTTTTCTCTAATCCCTGACTCCTAAGGGAGTGTCTGCGCCCAAAACATACCTGTTTCTTCTGCACCCTGAATAGCACGCTTATTTCTGCTGCTCTGACTGGAGTTGCCTTCTCCTGGAGCTGGTGGTTCAAAGATCTATGAACAGAAAAATTCCACATTATTGGAAAGACAGCTGAGGCGAGGGAGAGGCAGCAGTGTAGGCAGGATCTTGCCTGAGGCTTGCAGCTGCTGCAAACTCACTTTCAGTCCCGCGGTGACAGCTGGAGCTTCCCCCAGACCGGCCTTGGGGGCTCTTGCTCTTGCTGGCAGCTTCTCCGCGTGGTGGCTCTGCAGCTCTGCCCGGAGGCTGGCCAGGTCCCCTTGCAGGGCGGCCACCTGGTAGAAAGACACCACCATGAGGCAGCAAGACAGCAGTGCCAGCAGCAAGGCTGCAGCCAGCAGCTTTCTGTCTTTGGAGGATCGAACAGAGGGGCTTTCCTTCTGTGGGAGGATGGAAACACACTCCTTCAGTTTCATTTCTTCTCTTTTCTTAAGGCAAGAAGTAAGGCGTGACTGCTCCCTTTCTGTGGAGTCATCCATATCACTACTTGAACTTTGAAGGTTGGGGCCTTTAGAATAAGTGACCACAGGGAATGGATCATTTCCTGTTATCTGTGTTTGTTGATGTCCTGTGTGCACTACATGGCAGGGCTTGGCTCACCCCTCAGGAGAGTTCTCCTGAATTTTCTTCTTTCTGCCTTGCTGCATCTCTACCCCTGCTGTACAGTAGGTTTGCTGGCATTTACCCTCCAACTGGATTGCTCAATCTGTCTTCCTCATTTCACTTTCAGTTTTTGTAAGAATTTCAAAGTCATCTCACAACACTCACGCTCAAGTAGATTTAAAGCCCCTTAAATCTGCTGGGGAAACTTGGAGTTTGGATTGGCACCTTCAAGGGAAAGCTTTTAAGATATGCACAGGTCTAAGAAGCCCACCATTAAGCATAGTAAGGGAACTGTGTCTGCTTGGGGCCACGTGGCTTCATAAGGAAGGGGGAAAAGCAGCTGAACGTTCCTGCTGCTGTCATAAAAATAATTAATGTGAAGGTCACATAAGCTAAGTGCTTTAGCATTGACTTGTTCTTAGCTAGAGAGTGATTTATTAACAGTCTTCAAGTATGAAATAAAACGGAGAATCCTTGAAGGAAGTGTGGAAGTAAGTCCACTGGGAAATATTCATATTATTATACTAATAATGTCATAAAAAGAATGAGACTAAATTTTACAGACATATTTAGATTAGCTATCTGAAGGATTCCCTAAATATAAGTGAACATATTTTTAAGGAAAACATGCATAAACTTTTTTCTTCTGAGACTCATCACTGAAACTCTATCATGCATATGAATGGCCTGTCCCGAGGAGCCTGGTCTCAGCTTTGCTGCTCAGACTTCTGAAGCTTTAAGTCCCTACTCAGTCTGATACTAGTTGAGGAGAATCAGCCTTCTCTCCAGCTCCAAATGCCTGACTGCTACCATCAACCACTCTCAAGTAGCTTTTCTACAACTCCCATGTTGACTGTGCGGCAGCCTAACAGGTCGGTATACAAGAGGTCCTTGATCAAACAAGAGCCACCTTAGCTTTTGATTTTTCTGTTGTTGACTTGGGGACCTGTGAGGACTATTGCATTAATTCTAGTCCTGCCTTATCCTGATAGCTGGTTCCTGGACATTCCCCAGTTTCTCACTCTTTGCCCCAGCATTGAAATATTGATTCATCTTTCAATTAACATTACTGAGCACTTAGCAAGCCCTGGGTAGTCACTACTCCCCTATGGACTAAGACTGGTGAGCTTTAGTTCTGTCTCACTCTACATTTCCATACAGTCTTCAGTAAGAAATGTACAGAAATAACATAGTGCAGAGTGGAGAACTCTAGACCCAGGCTTCTAGACTGCAAATCCTGCCTCACCCCTCACTCTCCTTAGGCAAAGTACTTAAACTCTCTGTGATTCCATTTCCTCACCTCTGAATTCGTATGACGGTATTAACTGTCCCTGAGATACGTAATGAGGCTTACAAGAATGTGGAAACAAATTACACTTTGGATGCTTCCATTTAAAAAAAAAATTATTTCCACAGTTTTGGGGGAATAGGTGATATTTGATTACATGATTAAGTTATTTAGTGGTGATTTGTGAAATTTTGGTGCACCCATCACCCGAGCAGTGTAGACTTTGAGCCCAATTTTTAGTCTTTTATTCCTCACACCCCTCCCACCCTTTCCCCTGAGTCCCTAAAGTCCATTATATCATTCTTATGCCTTTGCATCCTTGCAACTGAGCTCCCACTATGAGTTAGAACATGCAATGTTTGGTTTTCCATTCCTGAGTTACTTCACTTAGAATAATAGTCTCCAATCCCATCCAGGCTGATGTGAACGCCATTAATTCATTCCTTTTTATGGGTAAGTAGTATTCCATCATATATATGTACCACAGTTTCTTTATCCACTCATTGACTGACGGGCTCTTGGGCTGGTTCTACATTTTTGCAATTGTGAATTGTGCTGCCATATATATGTGTGTGCAAGTATGTTTTTCATATAACGACTTATTTTCTTCTGGGTAGATACCCAGTAGTGGGACTGCTGGATCAAATGGTAGTTCTACTTTTAGTTATTTAAGGAATCTCCACACTGTTTTTCACGGTGGTTGTACTAAATGATTGGGGAAATGCAAATCAAAAGCACGGTGTGATGCTTCCAGTTTTTCATTCACTTTTATTCTTTACATTCAAAGTATGAATGAAACATTTTTCAGTTACAAACAGTGCTCTAATAGACATTTTCTACAAGTGTGCTTGTAACATCTGCAAGGGTTTCCCAGCAAATGTCTGCTGAGGGATAAGCACATCTTCACTTTTACAGGCGCCACCCAGTTACCCTCTGATGAGTTCCCATTTCCTCATTGTCTCACTACAAAATGACGCAGTCAGACTTACTTGTTTTTACCATTAGGACTGTTCTTTTTTTTCCTTTGCATCTGCAAGTTTCCAAGATCTTTTTAAAATAACTCGTTATTATCATTATCCTGGCCTCAAAAATAGGCTGCTCTCTAATTTCTCTTACCTATAACTCCCACAATAAGGTGACTGTGCCCCAGTCTAACAGGTACATAGACAAGAGGTCCTTCCATCTTCCAGGTGGAAGTCTTCTTTTATAAGGATGTTTGTAAACGCTTTTGCATCAGGCATGACACAGTACAATTCTTTTCTGTCAGTTCTTGTTCCAGATCAATTAGGGTAAGTCATACGGAGCAACCTTGCCATAAAAAATGGAATTCGTATGAAGATTGTATGAAGGCCTTCTTACTGAAAGTAATTGAGATCCTTCAGATTATGTGTTTGTGTATTCTTATGACCTAAATACATGCAGAAATGAAAGGATGCAAGGCAGTGCTAGAAAGCAACTTCTCTCTGCGTTTCGCTCAGGGTTTCCTGTAGCCACTGCTTCTCTCCGTCCGGTTGACATTCTCCCACTTCTGGCGAGTCATTCCCCTCCATATCCCTCAGAGAAAATTTTGAAGACAGGGAATGATTTGACTGCTTTAGGGAATTCTCTCTGCCTTCGTCACTCTGTTGGGCAGAGACTTTCATGCCTGACCATCTCAAAAGAAAGTCACTGGACAGCCTACACTCAGCCATTTTTAAACCAGTGGCCAATGTTTGTTGCGGCAACAAGCAGTACCATGCATAAAATGGGCGAGTGCTTCTTCCACGAAGGGCAGCCGTGGTGTCCCTCTGGCCAGAGGGACAGCAAGCAGGGATGGCAATGTGCACGTCCTCCACAGGGATCTGACAGTTGCATTTTCTCTAAAGACAGGTAGAAAACGAAGTGACATTCATGACTCTTCAATCTCTTATTCGATGAACAAAAGGAAGTTATTACTCCATAAATCGAGAATCTGTTTCCTGAAGAGGAAATGGTTTGGCAATAATTTAACAGAAATTCTGTTAAACAAGAAGTATATTCACGTTCATTGAATAATACACCACATCACAAGTTTATTCAGGGACAAAAGACCACGGTATCTGAGCCAGATTGTGCAGCGATCTTCTTATACTATATTCAGTGTTTACTGACAGTGTTTAGCTGCTTTTTACACACATCTTTTTCTCAATGTAAGTGTAAAGCATTCTTCTGTCATTCAATCAACAAACTGAGATACTAGTGCTTTGTGATTGATGAAATTGTTCTATCCACTCAGAAATAGGCAGATGGGGTTGAAAAGAATATAACTTGTGAGTTTGTCCGGGAGTCAGAAACAGCAGAAAATAAACATTCACTCTCTGACTACGTTCTTACACTGACAACCTCAAAAATATTTTTAAAAATGAATTATAAATTTCTGGCTAAATAGTGCTATAAAGAATTACAGGTTTGAGGAATCTCTCCTATGCCCCTTTTCTTTGAGGAAAAGGGTGTTTTTAACAAGGATTTAGACCAGTCAAGCATGGCGACAACAGCTCTTTTAGATCTGTAAATGTACCTAAAAGTATATCTAGATAAAATTGGCATCCTAAAGCACTCAGAATATGGAAAATAGCATGATATAGGTTAAGTATTGCATTTCAGGAAAATATGCTGTTTTCTGGTAGAAATATTATACATATATACATAAAATAATATATATAAAAATGTACAGATATACACACTATATATAATGGAGAGAGAGTATGTGCAGTAAGTTATTATATAGTTAAACTTGATTTAAAAGGCAAATGTTAATCACTGTATACAATTTTTAATTTAAAAAAATTTAATTCACATATTACATATGAGATACAGTGTTATGTTTTGATATATGTATACAATGTGTAACGATCAAATTAGGAAAATTAACATATCCATCACCTTAGACATTTATCATTTCTATCTGGTGAGAACATTGAAAATCCTGTCTTCTAGCTCTATTGAAATATGTAATATATTATTGTTAACAATAGCCGCCCTACTGTACAACGGAATACTGAAAATCGTTCTTCCTATCTAACCCTGACTTTGTACCAGGTGACAAACCTCCACCGCAATACCTCTGGTAACCACTCTCCTACTCTCTACTTCTATAAAATCAACTTTTTAAGATTGTACATGTAAGTGAGATTACACAGTATTTGTCTCTCTGTGCCTAGCTTATTTCACTTAATATAATGCCCTCCAGGTTCATCCGGGTGGCTACAAATGAGAGGATTTTATTTTTTATGGCTGAATAGTAGTCCACTGTGTTATACCACATTTAAAAAATTCATTCATCTACTGATGGGCACTTAGGTTGATTCCATATTTTGGCTATTGTGAATAGTGCTGAATCAACATGGGGATATTTCTTTGATACACTGATTGCTTTCTTTATAGACCTAGTGATGGAATTGCCCAAGTATGGTAGTTCTATTTTTAGTTTTTTGAGGAACCTCCATACTGTTTTCCATAGTGGCTGTACTAAATTTATATTCCCATTAACAGTGCACCAGCGTTCCCTTTCTCCACATTCTCACCAGGTAGAGGTCATCATCAGTGAAATAAGCCAAGCATAAAAAGACATATATCACATGTTCTCATTCATATGTGGGAGCTAAAAAGGTAGTTCTTATGAATATAGAGAGTTGATACGTGCTTACCAGTGGCCAGGAAGAGTAGGGAGAAGGGTGGAGGGATGAAGAGAGATTGATTAACGTTAGAAAAAATAAAACCTAATGCTTGATAGATTAGTAGGGCAACTATAGTTAGCATTAACCTGTTGTACATTTCAAAATAGCTAGAAGAGAATCATTTTAATGTTCCCACAAAACAAAAAGATAAATATTCAAGGTGATTAATATCCCAGTTACCCTGAATTGTTCTTTACATATTATATGATGTATCAAATTTTCACATATATCCTGAAAATATGTGCATCTGTTTTGTATCAATAAAACAAATAAATTTAAATTTAAATTTAATAAATGGACTGTAAATATTTTAATGATTTATTTTAAATTTTGCTTATTAACTTTTGAGAAGAGGATGGGGTTAAGAGTGTAGGCTCTGAAGCCAGAAGAAGCGTCTGTATGCCCACTTTTGCTTCACCATCTTAACAGAATCTTTCTTGCCCTAAATCTAGAAGCCGACTTTGTTTAGATCTCTATCTCTGTGGGATGCTGACATAATCTCACACTTTAGGGAAGTCCTAATCATGAAATCTACTCACGATGACTCCATCCACATCACCACTGATTGCTAAGGGTGGACAAATGAGACAGGCTTTTTACAGTTGGTTGTGAGGTGGTCTCCTGGGGGGAACTGCTAGGAGACAGTTCCTCATTCTTAAAGAGATTGACAAGAAAGAGATGCTGTTCTCCCAGTAGACATTACAAGCCTGCCCGTGATCACCGCGAACTGGCATCTTGCAACTGCCGTCAGGCCCAGACTGAAACACTGTTGACGAGAACATGATTCTGGAGGGAAGCTGGCTCTGTTAGGACATAATTGTCCTGCTGGATTACTCAACTCTTCACACTTGTTATTTGGATCATACTATTTCCTAACTGTTTATGCCAATGTGAGACAAGATTAGGTGTTAATTCATCCAAAGACATCCTAAATCTGCTAGTTAGATTAGCAGTTTGATTAGGATCCAAAGACATCCTAATTCTGCTAGTTTTAAGAATTGTAATCTTATACAACCAAAGAACTTTGTATAAGAGAGTTTTAAATGTTCTTTCAGAATTTTTCCAAATGTCCACTTTTTGAAACTGTGGTGTAAAGAGAAAAGGTCAACACCCACAAGCTAGAAAAACTAATTCATTTATTAAGAAGAGTCTTATATCCAGTTTTAATATAAAGTTATTTTTAAATAATTTAAGCTCTTTAATATGTTAGGAATCTTAAGAAAAAGTACTATTATGTGAAGATGTATTTAATGAATCTGTCTTTTCCATGTGGAACCAAAATAAATGTAGTCACCTCTTTCAGAAAAAAAAATGCAAAATCAGAATTTGTGCATCTCCATGTAAGAAGGGAATAATTTCAAACTAAGAAAAAAATAAGAGAGATATAGTGTATTCTGAGAAAACTGCAACATGAATGCATCTTTCTTCTCCTTTACTGACAGTTGTAAATTATCTTTCTTCTCTGAGCCATATTGCAGTAGAACTTAGAGGTAATTGGGTGTTAGTGAGGGACTTTTTG